TTGAAAAAAAAAATCTCAGTTCATATTAGTTGGAGTTAATTTAAATTTTATTGTACCTAATTATATATTTTTGTTTTGTTACTATTAAATTAAAATAAAATAAAAATTGCATTATTATTTACATCACTATCTACCTATACCTACAAATAATTAAAGTTAAAACAACGTAAAAAAAACGTTTATTAACACGCTTATTAAAGCCACAATCTTGACGTTTAATTTACGTTATAAACATATGTTACTTTTAACGTTAATTTTGTTTGATTTTAATACGTTTAATGTTTGTGTCTTAAGAGCTTAAATTAAACGTTTATTTGGGCGTATTTTGAAACGTGAAAAACCGCGACATTTTAAAGTTGATTCTACGTAATCAAACGACGTTATTTTTTAAACGTGTTTGTAAAAAAAAACACGTGTTATGAACGTACGTGTGTTTACTGGGCAGGAAAACCTCAGATAAAAATGAAAAATTAGTAATTCCTAAATCTGCTAGATTCAATATATTAAGAAAGTATCATGACGACATTGGCCACATTGGATATCGAAAATGTGAATCGCTAATTAAAAGTAAATTTTGGTTTAGTGGCATGACCCGATTTATTAAAAAATACGTTTATGCTTGCCTTGATTGTGCCTACAAACGGGAACAATATGGGAAAAAAACAGGTTTTTTACATCCTATTAGTAAGCCTACAGAACCTCTACATACTTGGCACATTGATCATTTAGGTCCATATGTCAAAAGTGTTGGTGGATTTTCTTATATCTTAATGGTAGTTGATTCATTCTCTAAATTCTTTTTCGCACGACCAACAAAAACTACCAATTCTAAAGAGGCAATACACATTTTAAAAGATCTTTTTAGTATGTTTGCAGTACCAAAAAGAGTTGTATCTGATCGCGGTAAAGCATTCACTAGTAAAAATTTTAAAGAATTTTCATTAAAATATCAATTCAAACATATTTTAAATAGCGTTGCTTCACCAAGATCCAATGGTCAAGTCGAAAGATACAATTTGACATTAAAATCTGCGATTAACGCTAGTATAGATGAAGAAGATGAGTGGTATTCTGTGCTTCCGGATGCAGTATGGGGTATTAATAATACTATTAATGCAAGTACAGGATTCACCCCACAGAGACTCATGTTCGGTTTTGACCAAGCCAAACATAGAGACTTGGACACGAACAATAGCATTGTAATAAACACAGCACACGATCGCGAAAAAGCAAAAACAAATATGGACAAACAATCAAAAAAAATGAAAAGATTGTTCGATGCTAAAAGAAAAACAGCACAGCAGCATGCAGTTGGCGATTTGGTATTGTGGAGTGGAGCTGGAACTTCAAAAAAAGAAGTGAAAAGAAAAACTGGTATTAAATTTGGAGGTCCCTACAAAATTACAAAAGCGAAGGAAAACGATCGCTATGAAATAACTTCATTAAAGGGGATGAAAGGCTACAAAAAATACACAACAACAGTACCAGTCGATCAATTGAGAATTTATACGGGAGGTGTAATTAATGAGAGTGAATCTGACAGTGAAGTCGACAGTACAGACGAACTGTTAGATTTACTAGAGAGTTAATAAAAATAAAAAAAAAATATAACATAAAATAGGTAGAGCTCTATCGAGCATAAAATAAAATAAAAAAAAGATAGTGAAGCCATGTGAGCATAAAATAATAATAAAAAAATAAAACAAAATAATGATGAAAAAAAAAAATAAATAAAATAAAATATTTATAAAAAAAAAAACCTAAAAACAAAAAAAAAATAATAAAAAAAAAAAAAAAAACTTAATTATAAAAATCAACTATGTACTTGTGTTCTTTTGTTTCACAGATCATGGAGCCGAAAATCATCCGATAAGAAGACGAGGACGTCTAACTAACCAGGATGGCCGAGTGTGACGCAGCCCATTATATCAGACCTATATTATAATAATACTTATCTATTTACCTGACCAAAATGTAAACTTTGCTAAAATGGGATCTTTTTTCATATTTTGTAAGCTTCCCACAATAGAACATGAAGAAAAGGGTCAAGGCAGGTAGGTACCGGCCTCGACCCTCCAAAACTGTTATTGTGCTTGTAACATCATATTTTTGATTTGTAAGACATTCTAAAATAAACCATCAAAGTGAAAACGCAGCGACAGGAAATATTCATGCTAACCGGAATGACCATCTCCGACAAAATGCATTTATGTACAACGCCGTTGTGTCTTTGCTGTCCCTGGTTTTAAAGAACTGACAGCGTTTTTCTTTGAAAATAATCTCATAGCACCCTCACAACACGGATTTTTCCATAAACGTTCTACAACAAATTTACTTTAATGTTTTCAAAACTGGACAGACAACCATGATAATTTTCAATCCACAGATGTGATCTATCTAGATTATGAGAAGGCATTCGACACAGTCCACATAATCTACTTCTAGGAAAGATGAAACACTTTAAAGTGAGAAGTCAACTCATTGCAGTAGGTAATAGAGGACCTACTGCATGAGAGATTTTATCAAGTTAGGTAAATGGTGTGCTGTCAAATCAACATCTTGTTAGTAGCGGAGTTGTCAGGGTTTAGTCATGGGCCCACATTATATTTGTTTGATCTCGCCAGCGTCATTGAAGGTAAAATGAAAAACTTCGCAGATAATGGAAAGCTTTATACAAAAATCCGCTAGTACAAATGCAGGCCAGCTAAGGGCTGATCTGAAAACTGTTGAAGAATGGTCTACAAATTGGGGAATGAAGTTGAATGAGTCCAAATGTTCAGTCTTATGAATCGGTCAAAACGAAGAATACGAACTAAACAATGTGACATTACAATCTGTGGTAAATCAAAATAACCTAGGAGTCATAATAACTTCAGACCTGGAATTTTGAAGATTGCCAAAAAGGCCAATTCTCTTGTATACGTCATTAAGAAAGCATTGAAAAACCACTCAATAGAACTGATAGGCAAACTGTATAGAAGTTTCATATGACCAGAATACGTTTTCTCAGTGTGGAATCCCTATCATGTCAAAGATATAGAAGTTCAAGAGAAGATATAAAGACGAGCTACAAACATACCACCACAACTAAGAGACCTTTCCATTCACAGAAATATTGACAAAACTAAAACTAGGTAACAACTTTGAAGGAGAGAAAACATAGAGGAGACTTGATCGAAAAATACAAAATAACCATAGTAACTTAGTATCTACTATAATTGCCATCAATGTGTTTGGATGTAAACGATACTTTTACACACCTGGACCAATAACAACTGTGCAAGAATTAGGTTCTTTGAATAATTTGAGTCCCAAACCTCTGAGAATTTCGTACGCAGGTAGCCCTACTAAGGTTCTACTGGCACCAGAGTCAAGCATGGAGTATCCTAAAATGTCAATTTGAAGATATGGTCGTTGGAAACCAGAGGAGCGTGAGAGATAATATAGTCTAGGTGATGTCAACAGAATCGGCCGTCAAAAGTAGTTGAGAGGAAATAGGACGACCTAGCGATTTCTTCGAGGACCGTTTCTCGAATGCGAACACTTAGTACATGTTCTCACGGTAACATTGGGAGCACCACAACGAAAACAATGCGTCTTATGTGGATCTAGGCAATTCCCTATCAAATGTCCGAATTTTTGACAGTTTCAACAAACTAAATCTCTTCGCACGTTCTGCTGCTGCATACTATTGACATTAAGCTCATCAATATTATCTCTTTGATATGGATTATCGGCTGGATTATAAGATCGAGACGTTAAAAAATTCATTAGAAGAATTTCCTATAGGAAGTTTGGTACCTGTACAAAAGCAAAATCTGGCTCAACCAGTTGCTGACGCTTCCTAGACGGCGGAACATAGCTGTCTACTCGGTACTTCTTTGTCTCTCATTTGAGGCACTGTGCCTCAAGCTCAAGCTCTTCAAGTGTATTAACTACAGGCAGTTGAGTTGAATAAAAGGGAGAAACATTACGACAAAGAATGTCTAATTGAGCTACCTCAGGTAAATCCTCATACCGCCTAAACAACGCTTGCATGCAGGACATATAGTCCACAATGCTTTCAGAGGGATCTTGAGTTGTGTCCAGAATTTCTCTGAAAAGTCTCGCCTTATAGTCAGGAGGCTCAAAATGAGAACACAATAAATCAACCATCCGCTAAACCGTGTCTTATTGGCTTTAAACCAGTTCAACGCTCGACCCTCGAAAAAATCCATAGCTGAATCGAAAAGCTGTTTCTCAGTCACGTGACGTGCTACTCTGAGTTTAGTAACTCTTTCCAGGGAGTATGTAAAGATGAGAGCTTCTTACTATCTCCAGAAAATTTGATATTCCACTTTTCTACATTTGAATTTTTATTAGGTGGCTGAGAAATCTGAGGAGAAAAACATGTTTGAAGCAGGTTGAGACGAGTTGAATTATTTTGAGGTTGTGGAGGATGGTTGTCTCCATCTGAGTCAGTGAAGCTATGCTGCTTTAAATTAGGTACTGAAGGCAAGAAAGATACTTCGCTTCATGCAAACTCTAAACCCAATTTCAGGATAGTAAGTATATATTATCTTCAATGATTTAAGAAAAAAAATAAAATAAACGTGGTAACGGGTTTTTGCTTTCTGCCCCACGTTGGGCGCCAAGAAATGCAAGCATCGGTATATGATGTTAGTTGTTATTGTTTTCTACTTATTTCTTTTACTTTATTTCTTCGAATTCTCCTTTCCAAAATAATAGAAAATAAAGAATATCAAATTTTAAAATATTTTATTTAAAATATACATAATAAAATCTAGACAATATTAAACACTATATTTGGCATAATTTTATATAAGTCCATCACAATCAATAATTCGACCAGATTTTTTTTTTTTTTTCACCTAAATTACATTTAAATATAATATACTTATATACAAAAAAATATATAATTTGAAAAATCAACAAAAAAATAAATAAAAATGACTAGAATCAAGACCAGAATCTTAGGTACTGGATTTGGTGCAAAACCATACACAAATCCAGCCTATATTAATATAACAATAAAAATTTGTACTTAGTGTTCGCTACTGAAATACGAGTTTTGCATGAGGTAGAGCTTGTCTATGGGATTCGCCAGGCTACCATTATCTCCGTGGGTCATTTCCAAATTTTGCAAGGACATTGTATCAGAAGTACCTTCATCCAAATGATCAAAATTAGTACTGTCGTCTAGGGATATGTCTGAACTGCAAAACGATTCACCCGAATGAGCTGGATAGTTGTCTAGAATTAACAAAATAGAATAAATTTGTTGTTTTTGGATAAGTTATAATGAATTCCTTACCGTCAGGTGAATAAGGCATATTCGGATTCAAAGGTTGTCCAGAACCACCGTAACCCAAACCCATACCAAACTCGCTACTAGCAGGACTAGATTCTTGTTTAATCATTTTTTCATCCTTGTCACTTTTGTCCTTATCACTCGGAGATTTACCATCTTCTTGTTTCTGCTTGCGCTGTATTTTCTTCATTTTGGCCCGCTGGTTCTGGAACCAGACTTGCACTACTCGAACACTTAGACCGGTTTCTTTTGCCAGAGCTTCGCGCACTTTTCTGCAAGGCTTCGGGCTTACTTCAAAGGAGGCCTTGAATTGTCTACGTTGGCCCGATGTTAAAATGGTTCTTGGACGTTTCGGACCTCTTCGACCGTCTCTAGGCCTGCTGTTTTCGTCCAGGAGGTCTTCGTCTCCGCTGTTGGCTTGTTGCATGAGGTAGAGTTCTTTTTCGAAGTCTTGTCTGCAGAAAAGTTGGCCTGCTCGCAAAACGAACTGTTCACCTAAAGAAGAAATATATTTTCTGTTATCGAAGTTCTAAAATTAATTGACTAGTGGTACTGATTCAAAACGAAAAGTTTAGTACCTTTTTGTAGAGGTTGGCAGCATATTACGCAAACGAAACAAGGCAAGTGGTAGACGTGTTGTTGGGCTCGCATCACCATTTCTTGGGGTAGTAATCGGTCGCCGCATCTTGAACATTTCACTCCGAATATTCTGTAAAAAATTGAAAATTGAGTTTAAACAACTTTTGAGGTTCAATGCTCAATTGCTCAAAAAGTATTTCAGCTATCAAACTCAATTTAGCACAGATTTATAGAGAATTTAATGCTCTTTCTAAAAGTGTATAATTAGTTTTGATTTGTGTAAATTTTAATGAAAATATTGGCAATTTTTTTTAACCTTGTCATCATTCTAGTTCGTGGATTTATCAGGCCAAAACTCACGTTTAATAATATTACGTTAAATTTTTGTGCTTGGCAATTTGGCGCCTAACGTGGGGCCATATTAATATGTAGGTAAACACTACTGGTAAAGGTGCTCAGTAGGATTCTTTATAGAGTAAAAAAAAAAAAAAAAACAATTATGAAATTTCTCTGGAATATTTTTAGATAAATATTCCGTGGAAGAATTTTATAAATTTTTCCATCATTTTGAAGCACAAAAAGAAGGGAATCCGGCACAAAGAATCTCTCTTCGGCGGCAAAAATCGCAATATCGTCCCATCTGGAGCATAAAATAAAAATCCACCTGCGAGAATATATATAGACGGTTACTTTCCCAGCCCAGCCAGAGAGAAAAAAAGAATAAAAATTCTTTTTAATAAAAATAGAGGCCTTATATATCCTCCCTTTCTGGCACATCTCTGTTTAAATATTCCCTTTTCGGGGGAGGCTTTAAGAAGGCGTCGGACCGTTTTTAATAAATACCGAGACCTTTGTTAGAAAACACCCCCCCGACTAGACGTTATATAACAGGGGGGTGATTTTTTTTGTATTCTCTCAGATTCCAGAATCTTTTATTCGGATTTTGCCGATATTAAGATTTACTATTTTCAAATTCAACAAAATCCTTTGACAAAGTGAATGAAAGATCTCATGGCAATTTGCAACCCTGAGAGTATAGTAATAGCTTCTCACTGTTTAATAAGCCAAAAGAAGTTTCTCTTGGAAATTTCTAGCTAGTGAGCATCCAGAGTCCAGTGGGCAGTGTGATTGGATTTATAAAGAACATCTAAACGAAAAACATTTCTGTGAAACATTGAAGGAAGGAGTATTGAATTTCTAAAAACTCCTAGTGTATCATAGATAGGAATCTGAAATTCTCAGTGAATCTTATTCTGGCTGAGGTCTACAATCCCTGAAAATTTCAGCTCATTTGGACTTATAGTTCTCAATGGAGTCGAGGGGTCCCGAAATTCCGAATTTTAAGACTTGTTTTTGGCCGATCAGTCCTATTTTCACGCATTCAAATCTCTGTTTCTAAACCTGATACGATTCACCCTGTATAGAAGATTAATATTCTACATTACCCATCAAACATCATTTGACATTGTAGGCCAAACAATTGAACCTTTTGCCAAATCCAAAGATTTTTTAACACCTAAATGATTGTAATGTATTCTTGTTAGCATTTCCTTTTGCAAACACTCAGGAATTACCAAGCAGTCTCCTTTCAATATTAAATTTTCATGTAAAGTTAATTCATCTCTAATTTTAAAATAGAATTTAACACAATCTTTGACTTTTATAATTGAATTTGGCCACCCTTCTAGAATCACCTCTCGCAATTCTCTCAAAGCTGGATCATTCAGAGTCTTATTTTTAATTTCATTGAGTTTCCCTTCTGTGACATTTATTTCAGAAACTACTAAGCATACCTGAGCCTGCAACTCATTATCAAATGTATCCTCACTTTTATCTTGAATATATGTTCTTGATAAAGCATCTGCAATAACTATCTTTTTACCTGATTTATAATATACTTCAATATCGTACTTTTGAATTTGTAACAACATTCGTTGGAGCCTAGGGGGACATTTATTTAATGGCTTTTTAAAAATTGATATTAATACTACTCCTACAGATTTTGAGCTATCTACTGAAATTACTGTCTCCTCATTAACATCATAAAACTGTAGAACTGGACTTGTGGTTAAAATTGTTTTAATTATCAAAAGCTTTTTTTAACAACGATCTTAAATGCTCTGAATTACTTGATTTTGGAATGAATTTTCTGACATAAGTAATCATACCTAATCTTCTTTACATGTTGGTGTAATTAACTCTTTCATAGCTACTAATTTTGACTGATCTAGTGACACGCCATCAGCTGAAATTTGGTATCCCATATATTTTATGCTAAACTTGCCAAAATGACATTTTTCTATATTGAATTTCACATTATTTATTTCAAAAACTTTTTTCAAGCTACAGTCATGTTCTTCCTTATTTTTTCCAAAGACTATTAAATCATCAATATATATTCCTGTACCTTCACAACCCTGGAATATTTCCCTGAACTTATGCTGAAATACTTCAGGTGCTGATTTTATACCATATGGTAGCCTGAAAAACTTGTATCTGCCAAATAGGGTGTCAAAAACACAAAGATTTGTACTCTCTTTATCCAAAACAATTTGGTAAACCATCAAACATTCATGAGCCGGGAATAGACAAAAAAATTAGCAGAAAATTTAAGAAAACGGTCAAGAGCCGAGAATAGAGGAAAATTGAGAAATAGAGTAGAAATTAAATGAAAAATACTTCACATTCATAAATCTTGATAGTTTAAAGTCACTATATGTGCTTTAAGAATTCTGAAAATGGCGGCACAATTTATGACAGTTCCAAAGATCATAAATTACTACCTACACTAATTTTTCGACATTAAACCATCACTAGAAAATTCTTATAAAATGGAAGAACATCTTATAAATCTGTTTCTAATAAAATGCTTATTAGTTGCTTTCTATCCGTTAAGATTACTGCAGTGCTCAAGATAATAGATTTTTGAAGAATTTCCTTGTTTATCCGGCACAGTCTACAATTGGGGTCTTTGCCAGATTTCAAAATCTTTGTTTTAATGTAATTTATAACCTAAAATTACATGTTCCTGCTTATTCCTGGCAAGCAGTGATTAAAGCCTCCATTTCTATTTCCATGTTTGCCTGTGTTTTAACTATTTCCACGATTGTTGCTTTTTCTGCCTCTCTTAGAATTTGTTCATCCATAGGTTTCTCCTTCCATCTTTCCTTCTGTTTCTCTCTCAGCTTCTGTTTTATTATATCTCTTAAATTACTTTGAATTTTTTCGTTTCAGGTTCTGTGTTGACTGCATCCTCAATTATATTTTCTTGAATTTGTTCTACTTTTTGAAATTCCGTTTTGCAATACATATGTTTGAAAACTTCATTTTTTCAAATATGAGTATACGAGATACGATTGCACATATTTTATTTCTACCATTTAGTTCAGTCTTTGCGACTGCTTTGATTCTTCTGCTATATTCATTTGTTAATTTTGTTTTTCATCTTTTTTTGTTGGATACCATCATGTTCTTCCACACTGAGATATTTGTATACATCATGTTGGTTTAGTGCTTTGATTGTGGTGGAGATTCTGAGTACAAAGCAGTAATATAGCAGCACAAGCAGATGTGCCTTTTAAAGATCCTGCTTCCAATGTGTTGCTAACTTTCTCGACGTTTTTTTTTTTTTTTGTCTTTAGACGTTTAGACGTAATGCAGACCTAAAAAGGACGTCTTTAAGACTTTGTTTGCTGTCTGGGAGAGGTTTAAACCCTGAAAACTTCAGCTCATTTTGGACTTGGACTGAGATAAAATCGCGTTAAGGAATGTAAAGTGAATTTTTGGATCTTTCAATTTTCCTGATGACCTTTTTCCTTCTTCCATAAATTTGGGCTTCAAATCCCACGATTAATTACTGTATTGAAATTTGACCATTTTGGAAGGAATGTTTGAAAACTTTGAAAAATCATATTTTTTTTTTATCATAGATAGAAAGTGAACTTTCCTGTGAATCTTATTCCAGTAGAGGACTACAAACCCTGGAAATTTCAGCTAATTTGGACTTATAATAGTCGTTTTGGAAAATGAGAAGGGATTTTTTAAGTTTTACACTGTAAACATCGTCATAAATTAGAATTTGGATAATTGTTTTTACCACAATGGGTTCTTTTTTACGTGACCAAATCTCTGTATGCAAACCTGATACTCCTTGTATAGTAGATATTAATATTCTATCTAACCATTAATTTCCGATTTTGTTAGAACTTAGAAAGCTCTTGAGGCAAAAAAGTACTTATTTTCTACTTATTTTAAAGACCTCTAGCGGCAAACTCTCTAATCAAATCTAGGTCATATCTGTAAGACAGAAAATACTTTAAAAGGCCTAGTTTATTTTTCTTCCGATAACCTTGCTGGTAACTATCTACAATACCAATTAATTAAACATTCAAGAGCCGTACAAAAAATGAACAGGAAAAATTGAGAAACAAAACAGACGAAATTTGAGAAAACATTAATGGAAAAGTAGACATAGATAAAGTATGATGTTTCCAATTCAAGCTCTCGAGTTTACCATATTTAGAGACATTTAGAGAAACCAATAATTCAAGAGCCAAGAATAGACAAAAATTGAGAGAAATTTCATAGAAAAGACTTATTTCTTGGATATCATAACTCATATGGGTGCTAAGGTTAGTTTCACGGCATTCTAGAGTAAAACCAATTTGAGAACGGTAAACGCACGTGTCTGCGCGGAGTGTCGAAGCAAGAGAGAAATTATTATTTCGATAATTTTCATTTGGTTTTGAAATAGTGAGAAAATTAGCTTCAACTTGGGTTTTTTTGATTTTCTTTCTCAAGATTTTGGATGGGGCTCTACATTCATCTTTTGACAGATGATTACTACCGTCCCTCTCAACTTTGTCTTATTGGTTTCAAAATCGGTACTTTTGGACATATATCTTTTGACAAGATAATTACTACTCATTTGCTTTTTGACATGGTTTTGTGAGTTTGAGTTTCCCAGAATATTTCGTGGTACATAGTTGAAGTCTCCACAAACAAGAACGTCAGAGTTTTCTTCAAATATTGGATGTTGTAGATAAGATTTTTTACACAACACATTTATTACGTTATAGGGTGTATCAGATTTGACTACAAAAATTTTAACATGTGCAAATATGGCCCATTTTGAACAAAAAAGGTTAATACAACATGGGGTTCAGACTCAACCATTTTTAAGAAAAAGGCTTTTGAAGTTTTTGACGAATATTTTGAAGATAAGCATTTTTAGTCAACAACAATAACAAAAAATTGAAAAAACAACATAAAAATTTCACTTGTAAATCGGTGTCCAAACATCTGGCAACATAGCACAACAAAGAATAGGTGGTTGAAATTGAACGTTGAACCTTGGTTGAACTGAATACATTGATTCTTGATTTGTCTTGTCTATTTGGGCGCGCGTATTTCAAATTCGTTCTTTTTTAAAAATAAAATGTTCAGAAACGTCGAATATGCAGATACTTGTTTAGGCAGAATCGTTGCAAAATGCTCATTTAGCCGCCAGAATTAACAGGGAAACTAGGGAAAGATTTCCCAAAAAAAAAGTATCCACCTGATGAAAGCACATTGTGCATTGTGCCCGTTTTACAAAGATTGCGTGATACAGGAAGTGTGAGTGTCCAAGATCTGCGTGATTTTTAGTGTTTTGAGAACCTTTTAACAAAAGAAAATATTTTAATATTTTCGTAATAAGGATTTGGCAAGTAGCTGAGTAAGTATTGATTTTGATTTGATTTTTCTCTTGAATGCTTAGTGCAATTCACAACTTAATAAAATGGCACATTTTTTATTTTTACTAGGAAAGTGATAAAAATGCAAGTTATTATTTACATTATTTGAACAAACCACAACGTAAACAGATGGAAATAAATAAACTCCGTGCAAAAAAAAAAACTTCTTACATTTACCCAGTTTTATTTACATTTATATCCTGGCAAAGATAATGCCTGTACAATGTTGTCACGTTGATAACATTTTTCTAAATTTATATTCTGCAATAACTCCGAAAATACTACCAATTGACTCATGGTTAATAGGACAGTTTTAGCTTGAAATGGGTCAAATTATCTCATGTTGAAATATTTGTACTCATACCTGATACACCCTGTAGAGACCTTTGCAATAATGATCCCACTATAAGCGAATAATTCTCAAATTATAACTTTGAGTCTCGGTTTATTAATTTTCAGATATAAACTTGTTATATGGTAACTGGTAACTGGTGAATTTACCATTCTATAACCCTATTGATTGCATTTTTATCCGTCAAATTGCATTACCTACCTTACAGTTTATCAATAGGTGAATAAATCTTTTGCTTTATAGATTTAAAGTAAAATTCTCACCTATCATAATCAGCCTTACAGTAAAGTTTCATGTTCCTGGTATAGCACGATTGCGTCAGCAGAACACCACAAACGCTACAACAGAGACAGTGCTCGTGCCAGCTGGCGTCCGCCACTCGCATCAAGTAGCGGTCCTGGATTTTCCGGCCGCAACTTTCGCAAATTTCGTGCGTCTGTTCGCGTTTGATCAGCGAATTCGGAAGTTCTGAAAAACGAAACTCTTATTATTTATGGACGGAAACCGCATTAAAAGGGGTTTATTAAAAAGTTTTGGTCCAATTAAAGGCACATGTGTGCTCTAATATTGTTATTATTATCCTCCCTTTCCAGCAGATTTCGCCCGACATTTACAACACCCTTTTACATAGGTAAAGTTTAATTTTATTTAGATCCAGAAGTTATAATCCTATGGCGAACAAATATACTGAATTTATTTGCATGAAATTTTCGTATTTACAGTGGAACTTTATATACATATAATAAATAGTGTTACATAATTATATGATATTTTCCACTAAAAATTCAGACTGAATGGATTGATACCGATACCAAACCTATATATAGAACAATACAAAAGGGATATATCAAAAATTATTGATTTTGTGAACGGAACTGCAGCAAATATTTTGAAAAAAATTATTTTTGAGGTAGAAATTAATGATAGATGTAAGTACGGCGATATGCATAATAAAAGCGTATCTATCTAGAGTACAGAGAGAGTGAGATATATTATCATTGTCATGTTTGATACATATGGCAAAACACACCTTTCATTCTAATTATATTACCTATCTATTCACAATCCAATGTCCAAAGGTAAAGGGAAAATTTATCAAACTATCAAAAAACAAAATTAATTTCAATATAGAAAAAAAAATCGTTCAAATGTGCTCATTTAGTCATTGTCCATGTAAAAATTTGAAATGTACATAAAGTCACCTAACAAGAGTCTGCATGAAAAGTTCTGCATCTAGTTTCAATAGGTTGCATACAGAACAGTTTCATACCAGAATAAAAACAGAAGAACTCGATACAAAAATGCATGAATATAACACAGGAACAGATGAAACAGAAATCTATTAAAACCAGAAAAAATATTTATCAAAAGTTTATTTAAATTCAATACCAGTTCATATTAGTCCGGGAGGTGGTGTCACTTTTGAACTAGTGATCGATCTTCACACGAATTTTTCAGCGTGCGTAGTTCTTCACATGGACATATGAGATCCGCGCGTCAGTCAGTTCAATAGTGGTGGGTGTGGGTGTGGGAGTCTGTGGAACTTGTCAGAAAAACTATGAAAAAAAGTTAATAATCTGAACATGAAAATTTGTTGCAATGTTAATTATTGATAATTAAACGTGAAAATATTCGTCAGTCACGCTACCGACGGGGGAAACATCGTCAGTCAGAGGTTTGAAGTAGTCGAAAAAGTTGGAAAAGTGACCGATCTTCACTTAAAATTGTATGGACTGATTATTTGATTCAAATCAAGCATGAAAATGAACGTCAGCCACCTTTATCGTGGTGGATTCTGTGTCAGTCGGGTTTCCAAAGTCGAGGGCAGTGACCAGGTTTCTTTGGCGCGCTGCATCTTATGAAGTTAGACTGACGAATAATCCACCAGCCACGTGCCGACTGACGATTGTTTATTGAATGTCAGACAATTTCTCATTTATTTATAAATTTCAAGGTGATATAGATCACTGAAGAAGTGGAAAGTCATGAGCCCAAACAATGTGACGTCATCGTTTTCGATGATTTTCACACAGTCCATGCTTTGAAAGAAATTCCTGTATCTTTTGAAAACATCTCACAGAAAATCTTACATTCTTTCACTGCGAACCGCGCAAAAACCATCATAATTGCGTTCGATCGTTACGTTTCCCCATCCATAAAAGATAACGAGCACATAATGCGTGGAAGAGTACCTAGAGGTTAATCGTTTTACCATCAATGGACCTCAACAGAAACGATCATCGAATTTTAAAAATGATTTGAATAATACTTATTTCAAGGAAGCGTTGGTGAGATTTTTACGTGAACATTGGAATCAGGACCATATTTGTTCTTACTTTGGTGACCGAGCTGTTTTCATAAACCATGAGAAATGTTTCAAGTTCGAAGTCATTGATAATAAGATTGTCAGAACAATGGAAGAAGATTTGTCATGCTCTGAACATTTGGAAGCTGACTCTAAAATTAGTTTTCACGTCTGCCAATTGAATTTGGATGCTCATGTAACGATACGATGTTCAGACACAGATATAATTATTGTGATTATGCTCGGTATGCATAAAATCACACATCATTTACAGATTTCGATTCTCACAGGACGAGGAAATAATTATCGTTACATAGACGTCACAAAAATATATAAAAAATAAAGTGGAGACTTGAGTGAAGCGTTGCCAGTTTTCCATGCTTTTACTGGATGCGACTTCAACCCCGCTTTCTATCGTAAAGGGAAAAAAAGCCTTACGAACTTCTAAAAAAATCAAGAAATTATATCCATACCTTTATTGCTATTTCACAATGGTCTGATGATGATTTGCGTAAACATTTTTCTGTTTTGGAGGGTTTTAAACTAAAAGCAATTTCGTAGCTTTACCGCCGTGTAACTCTGAATTATATCCGCATTTCTTAAGAACTTCGCACATTGTGCAGATGTGGTGTCATGCTTCGCAGCACATAACTATATAATTAGTCCGATTGATTATGGCTGGCAAGAAGAAGATGGAAAATATATTTTCAAGTGGTTCGATGGAGAACAGTTACCTGACCTTCAAGATATCAATAAATCTAACAGGTAAGCAAACATTTCATTTCACGTTACTGATCTATTATCTATTTTCACTCTAAAAATCCGTATTATTTACAGATTGTCAAGAAGATGCTGACGGAGAGTCATCAGATTATGACGATGAAAGCTTTATATAAGAGTCGGACACCCAGAGTGATAGTGAAACCGATTAATTTCATAAGATTTTTGTATTTTGTATTAGCAATAAAAAAAGAATGATATTTCAGTGAACGCGATATTTTAATTTAGAAGAATAGTGTAGTAACTGTTCATGAATTGAATTTTGAATTTAGTTATTTATATCAAATTAGAATTGATGAAAAAATAACAAAATCTCATGCACGTTCAATGAATAAACAATCGTCAATCGACACAATGCCGGTGGATTATTCGTCAGTCGAACTGCATAAGATGCAGCGTGCCATCGGATCGAGAGATTTTCTCTCTCTATTGACGTCTCCTCTTTATTGATTTCGACGAGAGTCAAAAAGACAGCAAGTGCTATAGCGATAGGGATAACGATCTCTATGCGTTACAGAGTTCCACCCTGGTCACTGCCCTCGACTTTGGAAACCCGACTGACGCAGAATCCACCACGATAAAGGTGGCTGACGTTCATTTTCATGCTTGATTTGAATCAAATAATCAATCCATAAAATTTTAAGTGAAGATCAGTCACTTGAATTTTCCAACTTTTCCGACTGCTTCAAACCTCTGACTGACGATGTTTCCCCCGTCGGGAGCATAACTGACGAATATTTTCACGTTTAATTTATCAATAACTAACATTCTAACAAATTTTCATGTGCAGATTATTTACTTTTTTTCATAGTTTTTCCGAAGAGTTCCACAGCCTCCCATACTCACGCCCACCGCGGTCGCGCTGACTGACTTTCAATTTTGATCACAGTAATCGCGAAACTCTTCAATAAATCACATTTGAGTCGGAGATAAATCACTGGTAAAAAAGTGACACTACCTCCTGTACTATATGGAAAATACTGATGTAGCAGTTTCATCAATATCACATAAAACTTGAAAACTACTGTTTCCATGTACAAACATTTTTCAAACTAATTTGCCATTAGGAGAACTTATACCTACTGGCGACTGGACAGAAAAATGTGAAAAAGTTTATAATTGGATGACATTAGAAATCGTTCCTCTACAAGTTTTATACATATACAATCCAGATCTATCAACTGCAATTCTTTATGTGCCCAGAGAGAAGTTTATATTCCAAGATTTATCTGTCGTCACATAAATAAATACAGATTGAGGTTTGCAAATATCAATATGAGTAGAAATTTATGGAACAATAACCTTGCTAAAAGGTAGATTGCTGAGTTCTTAATTTACTTGTTTTAAAGATTACTAAAATTCCTCACTTTTTACTGACTACAACGAGATCTTGTTGTTAATGGAAAACAATATAACAATAATAAAATACCAAAATATGCATAGATTCAATAAGCACCATGCTTTAAAACAGCATAAAGATAGCATAGAAAGGTGCCTCCTCAAGTCCGCATTTCTCTTGTACATATTTTCTTATTTAATTAATTTGATTCTTCCTTGATAAAACACACCTTTTTGATAAGATTTTTTTTTCATTTGCTAGAACAGTAGCATTATTGAAGTCCAACGCACTACGTACTGAAGACGTACATTTTAGGACCTTTTCACGTCGGTTCGTAGGGAATGTAAAACTACGTTTTGAGTACGTACGTGAAAGGCTGTATCAATATACAGACAAAAAAGTACGTACTAAGAACGTACGTGAAAATCTATATTATAGTTTGAGGCTCAATATCTCGAAAACTATATAAGCCACAGAAACCAGCATTATATAGGCTTGAAGAGAATTTATTTCTCTTTAGAATGCTGTATAATTGTAGGCAATTTTCTCAAATGTCATTGTAGATATTGGGAATCATTCATCAGCATGTCTAGATTCCAAAAAATTCCTAGAGCCGAAAATGAGATTTCCTTTTGGATTTTTTTTCTCATCGAATTTTTTGAAATGTAAGTGATGCTATAGTTGTTTCTGACTAATTTTGACCCGCTCTATCGATGAAAAAAGTCAAAATTGAGAAAAACTTAAAAATAAAAATTTTCAATTTTTTGCTTTTTTTCTTAAGGCTACCCCCTTTGGATTTTTATTTGCAAATCTTCAAACCTGGATATCTCAGTAACCACAAACGCTACTGGAATAAAATTTTCATGGATTGTAGCTTTTGATAAGGGCTTCAAAATGGTATTTAATTGAGATCGCTGGCTTTTGAGATTTATGAGAAAATCGAATTTGAAGTTTTGGACAAAATCTGGACTAAACTCCAAGTTTGAGGCTCAATATCTCGAAAACTATATAAGCCACGAAAACCAGCCTTATATAGGCTTGAAG